AAAATAAGCCCTAGTTAAAACCATCTTCCAGACAGATTTAGTTCATGAAACACACGACGAATGTATTGAATTATAAAATAATATTAACATATGGTTAAGTATAAATAATATCATTGACTTTAATAATATAAATTATAATTATTTGTAAATACTCAAACTTTGGACAACAGGTAAATCTCTTTGTAAAAAGATGGATTCGAGGGTTATCGCCAAATGACCAGTTGGGAGTACAGACACAATATGTGAATACTGTGGACACTTAATAACGGATGTGGTCACGTTTAATATGAACCTTCATAAATCAACACATCATGCATTGTAACAGATTTAATGCACTTGTGATCCAGTTTCATTTTCAGAGAAATACAGCATGCAGCAATGAGTTGCACTGTAAACCTTAGGTTATCTAATTTTGGCACAAAAAGAAATTTTAGATTTGATAACACTATAATTTAAATATACCTTCCTTACATATGAGAACTGATTAACATCAACATATGGTTGAATATATTTTTCCAGTAACACTAGTATTGAATAGCATATGTGTATCAACCAGCACAGATATTTAGTTTGAGTCTTTAAGTTGAACTTACAAGAAATTTCTATTATCTTGTAAATATTCACAGATAACTATATTAAAATTTTTACACTTTAAATCTATTGTATTGTACCAACAAGCTACACTTATTTCAGTGTTTAGTAAAAATAAGATTAAGATCTTTCAAAATGGAATTCTGGCTTTTGAGAAAAAGATGCCATAGGTTAGCAATGTTCTTCTAAGAAATTATAGAGTCTTTTTTAGTTTTCAAAATGAAAGTAACTGATGACCAGAAATTAAATCTGCACACTTGACATTTTCATAATAAAGCTGAAAAGCATTAGTATTAGTAGGAGGCATTATATAAAACCTTTCCTGGTTTGGAATTACCCTAACTCAGAGATTTGGAAATAAGTTTAGGTGACACTGTTACCGAACTGGCTCTCTTCTTAGCTTCCTGGGGGCACCTCTCCTTCAACATTAGTAAGAGGGAAATAAATTCTGGCTTGTGTGTCTTATATTCTGAAGTATGTGTCCTCCAAAGCCCGTTATGTTGGAGTTCAGGCGTCCTTCATGACAATATTTAAGGACAAGACCTTTAGAAGATAACTGAAATTCAATGAGGCATAAGGGTGGACCCCTAGCCCAATGGACTAGTGTCACACGAAAAGAAAAAACACCAGGAATGCACATTCGCACAGAGCGAACTGCATGGAGCACAGAGGGACATTGGCAGGGAGGGAGGGTGACCCGACAGAAACCAAGCCCACTGGCACCTTGGTTTTTTGTGGGGTTTTTTTGCTTTTCTTTTCTCTGCTTTTTATTTTTATTAGTATATTTGCAATACACAGTAATTACATTCATTGTGGGGAGTTGGTATGAATGCCTTTTTTGTCAGTATCTGATTTAAGTGTTAACATAAACACAGGTTAACAGCCAGACTTGCAGATGAGAAAACATAAAACACATAAATCAAGATACGTTTAGATATATTGAACATACTGCATTACAATAATTTTTTTCATTATTTTATTTTGCATTTATATATTTGGTTTCTCATATAAGAGAATCTCTGTGATATCTTTGTTTCTGTGTCTTGTTTACTTAAGATCTTATTTCCTTAACCTCAAGGTGCATCCATTTCCCATGAATGACTCATTTATCCTTCATTATGGCACAGTAGTACTCCATTATGTATAAATACATTTTCTTTATCCATTTATCTGTTGATGAACATATAATTGGCTTCAAGATTTAACTATTATGATGCCTGACAAGCACAAGGTCCTGAATTCAATTCCTAGTACAAAAAGAAAAAGATTTAACTATTATGAATTGTGCTGTTAAAAACATGGTTATGCATGCACCACTGTTTATGGTATCTAACCCTTTGGGGAAGATATCTAGATGGGGAATAGCTGGATCAGACAGATAGCTGGATCAAACAGAATTTCTCTTCACCTTTTAGAGGACTCTCCATACTGATTTCCATAGTGGTTGTACCAATTTACACTCCCACCAACAATGAAAAAGGGCTCCCCGTCCACCACCACACAGCCCAGCCAGCATCTGTTATGGCTAATTCCTTGATGATGGCATTCTTTCTGGGGTGAGATGCAATCTCAGTAGTGTTTTAATTGATGTTGCTCCAGTGGCCCGCGGGCACTTCGGGTTCAGTCCTTCCACCTCCAGGACTAAACAAATGTCTTTTCTTTAAGCCACCATGGCATGGTATGGTATTCTGTCATGGCAGCCCAAGCAGAAAAATAAAATGTCCTGTAAAATTTTTAGACTTTTATTCCTTCCCTACTCTTAAAATTGTATGAACAATGAAATATTCATACACTAAAATCCTTCCCAATTTTGGCTTTCACTAAATTTCACCATTAGTGTAGCTATATTTACACACTGTAAACAGTGTACTGTTTTCATTCTAATAGATTTTTCTGAATATCAAAGTTTGTAAATATCCTTTTCGTCCTTAGTTATGTCTCTGATATTAGTGAGCTCAGGCTGGCACAAAAAATACCATAGACTGGGTAAGCAACAGATATGTTTCTGCAGCATTTTAGAGGCCAGGAGTACCAGACCACATCACCAGCCAGTTCAGTTTCTGGTGAGGCCTCTCTCCTGCACTTGCAGAAGGCCATCTTGTCACTATGTCTCCCAATGGCTTAGCCTCCATGGCTGTGTATGGGGAGAGAGAACCAGCCCCCAGCCCCATCTGATCAGGGCCCTTCCCTTGTGAATTCAATCAACCTTCGTGGTTTCCTTAAAGGATCCTGTCTCCAGATACAGTCACAGTTCACGTTAAGGCTCCGACATGTGCACTTGAGGGAACACATTTGGTCAGTAACAATCTCTAAAGCTAGCAACTGCCTCTATAGGTTATGCTTTAATAAACTGCTGGAGCTCCCATACAAGAGCAAAAGAGAGACACAAAAAGATTTAAGTATACAAACATTGAGATTGTTTCATTTAAAAACAAATTATTCACTCTATTAATAAGTGAGTGTCACATAACACCATTAAAGTGCTGTATGAGAAAAAATGAATTCAAAGTACAGGCCTGACTCAAGAGTTGGAGAGAATACACCTATACCTGGAAGGCTGGGCAGGATGTAATGAAAGCAGAGTCCTCAATCTCCTTAAAACTGGCCGGTAATCTGGGAACAGACTGGGTATTGCCAGGTGGTCTTCCGGAAAAATAACTCAAATACAGCACACCCCAGCTGAGACATATGCATCGAAATGCTTTCCTTTGGATTTAACTAACACATGGCTGCACAGCAGTCTCACCTATGACCTGTGCTTTACTATATTTAAAGTCTTCACAGGGAGCCATAGAAGTAACACTTCCATTTGAAATCAACTCCCATCATACCAGAAAATACATTTTCCTTAGATTTCATCAAAATGATACTCTTAAAAGCAACTAATTTGAATGAGGAAATTCTATTATCTATTTTTTGAATTCTGTGGTTCTGTATTCTCAATACAATTGCCAGGTCTATCCTCTCAGAATGACCACTCCACTATTAAAAACTATCCCTCTAGCTTTGTCAGTCAAGAATAAATGCATCTGCCTAGCTTTCCAGCAAGTCTGCCCTCTGAATCTCAGGGGTTCCACATCCAAGAATTCAAGTAAGAGCAGATAAAAAAAAAAAAAGGAAAAAAGTTAGTTTTGGCTGAGTGTGGTGGTACACGCCTGTAATTTCAGCATTTGGAAGGTTGAGGCAGGAGGACTGCCCCGAGTTTGAGGCCAGCCTGGAATACATACTGAAACCTTGCCTGTACTGAACATGGATAGGTTTTGTTTTTTTCTGTCATTATCCCCCAATCAACAGAACAATACAGTTTCATTGTGCAGGTATTATAATCTAGAAATGACTTAACCGACAAGAGGCCAGACATGGTAGTGCATGCCTGTAATCCCGGCGCTCTGGGAGGTGGAGGCAGAAGGGTACCAAAGTAGCGACCAACCCGGACAATTCTGCAATTTACTGAAACTGTCTTTAAAAAAAAAAAAAGAAAGAAAGAAAAGTAAAGTAAACTAGTCCGTCTCCAAATAAAACCACGTAGCTCAGTGTGACGGCCCTGGGTTTAGTCTCCAGCAGTAAATAAATAACATTTAAACTGAAAAGGTGCAAGGAAGGATGTGTGTAGGCCGTAAGCAAATGCCACACCACTTCCCAGCAGAGACCCGAGCTGGGAGCGGGGTGGAGGCGACTTCACCGTCTCTGGCACCCGCCAGCAATGCTGCCCCACACCGAAACCTCGCCCCGGGAGCCCGCTCGTCCCGCGCCCGCGCCCCCTCACGCCGTTCCAGCCCCAATCGGGCTGCCACTCCCCGCCTTGAGACCGCAGCTCCGCCGCGGCCGTGTCGGTGGCGAGGCCCTAGTGAGCGCGGCCTTCGCCCCCGCAGCTGACCGCACTGAGCCGCCCGCCCGCTCACGAGGCTGCACCCGGGTCGCGCGGCGCCCTCGCCTTCCACGCGCAACTGCGGGCGCGGCTGTGCAGAGGGGCGAGGCCCTGGCGGTAGCGGAGGCAGAGGTGGTTTGGGGCTCGCCCGCGCCGCTTTGAGGCAGGGGCCGGGCCCATGACTCTCCCGCACGCCCACACAGCTGCCTAGCGCAGGGGCCGGGTCCAAGACTCCCCCTGCCCGCGAGCGGGCAGGGGTCTGCCTGGCAGCTCAGGGGCGCCCACCTGCAACCGTCAGCGCCACGGAGGGCCCGCCCCCGTCCCCAGGCCCCGCCCCAACCCGAAAGGTCCGGGCTGCGCGCGGAGCTCCCGGGGCACGCGGGCGGGGCAGGCGCGAGGCCGCGGGCAGCTCGTCAGGCGATTGGTGGGGCGGGGGCGGGGGCGGGACGAGGCGCGCACATGCGCACGGTGGCGCGGCCAGCACGCGGCGCTCGCGCTCCCTGCTTAAATGAGCCGAAGCGCCTCGCGCCTGCCACTTTAGCGGAGCCCGCGCCTGGCGGCTAGTGGGGTGGTTTGTGTGTTCCCTGCACGCGCCAGCGCCCCCTCGGCTCCCAGGCGGTCGATGGGACGCAGCGCCGCCGACCGGGGGGCGTCGGCCGTCGGGGCGCGTGTGCTGCGCGGGAGGCCGGCGCGGGACCGGGCCATGGTGGGCTGCAGGACCTGAGCTTGTCCGCGCGGGGCGGCCGGGGACAGCCATGGGAACGGAGCGGAGCCGTCGCCGCGCCGCGCCCTGAGCGCCACCTCGGCCCCGCCGAAGCGCGGGCCACTCGCGAACATGGCCCTGGAGCAGCTGCGCGCGGCCTTGAAAGGTAAGCGCCCCCTGCGGGCCGGCCCTTTGTGTGGCGGCGCCCGCGCTCGCGCCCGGCCAGCCCGCTCCCTCGCGCTTCTTGGTCCGGCGCGTCTGGTGGGGAAGGGGCAGAGTCAGGGACGGCGGGGCACTGGGTGGCGCTGCAGCCGCGCTTCCCCGGAGGATTCGGCACTCGGCTTTGCAAAGTTGTGGGCTCGGGTCAGTACAGTGAAGGCCGAGGCTTCTCAAAACGTAGTAACAAAAAGTAATTCCACGCTGTCTACGAAAGCCCCGGCCAAGGCGTCGTGCAGCGGACAGAGGAGCCCCGGGCGCCGGCGGCGCCGGTCGGGTCCCACCTGCTGCGGCCGCGCAGGCTGCGGCACCACTGCGGGCTCCGGGCGCTGGCGGACCCGGCTCGGCGGCCCGGGGCGCCCTCCCGGGACCCCGCACCCCACCGCCCGCAAGGATTCCGATTTGGTGCACGGAACAGAAGTATTGGTTTAGCAGCGCACGAAGCTCTGAAACACAAGAGTCGTTTTGCATTTCAGGGCGGTGTTTTTAAGCTGAAAATTTCGATATATAGGTTCTTTAGGTTGGTATACAAAGTTGCATCTGAAACTCGAATTGAATAAATCCTTTTATTCCCAGGGAAAGACGCGCCACAGCCCAGTGAGGGACTTGTTTTTTGTTCCTGATTTCGTTAGAAATGGCATGTTGAATATTTGTAATGTTAGACGATATTCTCTTTTTATACCGAGGAAGACGTTATGGCTTTGCATTAACGCTGGCTTGTGGGGCTTATTACTGTATCTTAATGTTTGTTCAGTGACAAATGTTGGGCTTTTTTTACCCTACATTAACTCTTCTTGAAATTTGTTTTATTAAAAAGTGAAGTGTACTTGTACCTGGACAAACTATGTTTTGGATAAATTTACGTTTCAGTTGGTCCAAATATGCTTAAATTCTTGATATTTTTAATCACTTAAAACATTTATATTAAGCGTGTACGAAGGTAACAGGACTTTAGCTTGTGAACGTTTGGATTAGTGCATAAACCCTTAATGGTTCCTTTACTGTATCACAATAACAGCTCCGAAATTCTGTAGCTTTGTGTAACTTCTTAGTCATTTTTTAAACATTAAGATTTTGTTTTACTCTTTTTGTAATAACCCACATGGACATAGGATTTCTGATAGTGCTATTTTCTTCTGTTCGGGTGGTTCATGCACCGTGCCAGATTATCAACATCATAATGGCAGACCTTTTGAGAGTGCCGCCTCCAAGAAACCGGGGTCTGTACCCCAGCTTTACCAGCGCAGCTTGACAAGACCCAGCGGCTCGGGCAGAGCCCAGTAGGTGCTCTGCGGGTGGAGACGGAATCCTGCCTCCGCCCGGTTTTTACGCTGGTGCACACTGCCCTCTCTGGCCGATGTGCGGTACTGATTGTTGCACCTTTCCGAAGGGATTCTGCGGTGAAGGCAGAGCTACAGGAAGTGTAGTGTTTGGCTCTTCTCTTAAATATTACTCAACCTACACTATATGTACATACTAGAGTATTTTAAAACTCAAGATACATTGTTATTGAAGGTTGACTATAGAGAAAGCAAGTTATTTTTAGGTTTCCTGTGGTATGTGTAAGTGCCAGAAATTGGTATGAAAGATAAAAGAAACATACAAAAATTGCTTTTCTTTTTCCTTTCCTTTTTCCTGTGGATTTGAAGAACAGAGTGAAGAGGAGACTTGGGTTTTACTGTACACCTTGTTTCTCTTGATTTTTTTTTTAAGCCGGATGCTATTGCTTAGGACAGGATTGCCTATATAAAAATAATTCTGATTTCTAAAAATTAACTTTCACATTGGTATGGGAGCAGTAAAACCCAAAATGAGTAAAATTTTGTTGTAATAAACAGGAAAAAAAGTGCCCTAAATGATAAAAAAAAACAAAAAGACTTTCACGTTGGTCCCCAGTGCTGTTATACATTATGTGTCCCAAGGCATGAAAAAATAGCCCTCAAATATCCTATAAGGTGAGTGACTTCACTATCAGAGGTTTCTTATCCAAAGGAACTTTAACATTAGCATAACTGTGGAGCTACCTATGGGAAACCTTGTTTGGAATACTAAAATAGACATAATAAATCTATGAAGTTAGTGTTTTAAAATGCCTTTGATTCTTTTTGTTTTACTTTAAGCATTGAGAGTAGGATAATTCCTATTAGATTATTAAAACCCACTTGTGTATGGCACTAAATAATTCACTTTTTTTTTTTTTTTTTTTTTTGTCGGTACCAGAGATCAAACTCACGACCATGTGCTTGTAAGACAGGTGCTTATGTCACTGAGCTAAATCCCCAGCCCCAGTAATTCACTTTTTAACTGTTCATTATCATTCCAGGTCTTACGAGATTTGTGTTAAACTTATAAAGAGGCCAAGCATTATGATCCTTTGAAAATATTAGATTGGCATTATAAGATTATTTTCTATTCTCATACTACACATGTGCTACAGAAGGATCTTATTAGACTCAATAATAGAAATTAAAGCTTTATAAACTATGGTTAAATTCATGATGTAATGGAGCATGAATAATCCCGGATACTGTATTTTAAAAATTTTTCTGAGACTGTGTTATTTTGTATTCTTTAGTCTTCGACCTCATCCAAGCACGTGAACTATACAGAAATAGAGTACTGAAAAGCTATGCATTGATAAACTTTTAATAAATAAAGTTTTAATGCAACCTTACTAAAAATTAACTTTTTGCATAATTATAGGTAACTGTCTACCAAAAGCTCAGGGTTGGCAAAGCACTGTTACAGTAAATCCTCAAAGCTGGTTCGTATTTTGAAGCCAAATTCCTCTTTTAGGAAAAAACCATTTGCATTACAAACTAAGTTCAAATCAGATTGACTTTCAGTCCTTTACAAGAAGGGGAAATGAAACCCTATAAGTGAATTTCATATCTAAAACATTGAAAGAGCAATTCCAGTTCTGTTCTGTGCATACCCCAACAGGTTCAGCACAAACTCCTATCGTTTTTTTCTATTCATGTTGCAGAATAGTTAGTAGTGTTACAAAATATGGATCCATGAGACACTTTGAGGTCCTGGTTATAATCAGAGTTAAAAGGGAAAGTCCTAAGATTTCTTTAATAGAACTGTTTCAGTACTCTTTAAAGAAGTATTTAAAACAGAAACGGTAGGTAAGAGTAAGGTTGCTGTGATTGGTAGAAGGCCTTGCTGTCCCAGTAACCTCAAACATCTGGGTGACCACCCAGAAATTGACACTTTGAGGAGTCTGTTCTATTGCTTACAAAATTACAGGTTGCACTAACGTAAAATTCTCATTGTTTTTCTAATCCAAAGGACATTAAAATATGTTGGTTTGAATTTGTCTACTGGCGTGTTGGAAATTACAGCCCCAGAATATACCAAGTGCTCTTCTAGGTATAATCTGATCTCGTTAAATTTTGATGACAATTGTGGATGTTGGAGGACTCCTTTAATCAAAATAGAGCATACAAAACTACCATCTGAGAGCATTTTAACTAACAGCGAGTTCCTCACATTCTGCAGGAAACAGAAAGCACTCTGCTGCAGTTACTCTTTCCTGGAACAGTGACTGGCAGCAGTGAGCTTAGCGTGTGTAGGCTGGAGTGTTCATAAGGCATCATCCATCTTTCTTGGCTAAGAAGATTGAATTTAATTAATGTGAGGCAATTTTTTGTCCTTTGGAGCATAGTTTATATAAAAAAGTTATTGCTATGTCAAATAGTACATAGGCTCTAATTGTATTCCATTCTGCTAAAGAAAACAGTAACGTGCAGGGAGACCAGTTAGGGTTGTTACAGTCTGACATCTTGTAGTGGATTTAAGAAATCTTACATGAAACATTTAACGCTTATAATAGGAATCTTTAGAAAGAATCATGTTTCATTACTAACAAAATTGCTACCTGCCACATACACAACAGGCTGTAGGGAACTGTGACAGAAACTTATAATTGACTCCAAGTGTCTGTTTTATCCTTCTTTGGTAATTCTCTAAATTTTAGTTAAGGGCACAATTGCTCAAAATAAAGACCGTGGTTTCTAGCTTCACTTTCGGTTAGGTATAGCCATATGACTATGGCTAGTCAGGTTAGATCGTAGTAGAAGATGATGTGTATAACTTAAGAAAAGTATCACCTTGTAATTTAAACTTTTTTCTTAAAGTAACTGTACATTCTAGGAAAGTGTTTTTAAGGGACAAGGAAATCTTCATGTCATTCTTGCCAAGTAGGATGCAGACATAAGGAAGACTAAAATAGCTGGCATTCTGACATCCATATTGAAGCATAAAATGACCTTGGAAATGAAAGTCAAACAACTGAATGAAATAGGAGCTTGGGTCCCTGGTGATGATACAGCCTTCTCTCTGTCCCTTGACTGTTTTTCTCTGGTTTGTTTATATATCAGAGAAATCACTTCCATCTTACTTAAACTGTTTAGGTTTTAAGGTTATTTGTGCCAGTCCTAATGCTAACATACGATTGTATGAAATCAGTGAAGTAACAAAACCAAAGAGCAAGCTGGTGAACACTCTCAAATGAAGGTGAATATTGTAAAATAAAATTAATATGAGAAAGGTTCATAGATAAATAGGTTTTAGACAATGTAAAGATAACTTTCTAGACTTGAAAAGAGATCCATGGTAGACACAGATGATCAGACACAATGAGAACTATTTGCAGGGGCATAGAATAGGTAGTAGGGAATTTACCTCATGATCAACATTACCAAAGCCATAGGCTTCGTTTTGCCCACACTCTCCCCTGTTCTTCCCTGTTCTTATCAGTTCAGATGAGTTCCTGTCACCATCAAAGGAAGAAGAAAGGCAACCTGTTTCTTTCAATAGTCTAGCTTTGTTGCAGTGGTCCTCCAGATAGGGTCCTAGATCCAGTAGCTTGCTCACTAGAGAAGCTGCTAAAAGTGCAGGCTTCCAAACTCCAGCCTAAACATGCTGGATCAGAATACTTGAAAA